CTTTGCATCGCTATTGGAGGCCCCACGCCCTAGCAGTGGACGCCTTCACCCAAGACTGGAGAAAGTGGAGCCGCCAGGACGTTCTGTACCTTAAACCCCGTTTCGACCAGACGGGCGAGTAGTGCACAAGGTTGCCGAGGAGAAGCCGGACTGTGTCTCGATCATCAGGTTTGGCCGCGCTGGGGAGAGCTAGGCTGGCAACGTTACCCATAAAAGCGCGGAGGCGTTTGCCGCACATCCTCACCCCTTTCAGGCCGAGTTACGCGACCGAGGTAGTGTTCATTTTGAGGTAAGGCAGGGCCGACTAGGCGCGAGAGTACGACAGGGAAGATAGCGAAAGCGAGGATCCAAGGAAGCCCGGAGACATGACAAGGCTGAGACTTGCAGACGAGCCGCAAGGCGGTGTGGCTGGGAGGTGGTGTGGCCTGATTAAACATTGGGATCGGGTGTAAGGCTGGACGCAAAGGCCCACTTCACGCTAGTCCGGTACGGAGCGACGAGCATTTACATTCAAGCACTACGTTAAAAAACCTTCCATAACTACACATACAAAACCTAGTCACTCTCACAAAATAGCATTTCTAGCCCGACAATTGTTTAGCCTGGCTTCGCTAACTTGCGCGAAACCTAGCAACCTCCTCGTTAGCGGAGGCCGACAGACCGCTTGGAACAGTTCTGACCCACGGTATCCAGTTTTCTGAGCATGTGACAGAACGTTTTCAACTTCACACTCCTCAGCAAGCGCTAAAGATCGCTCTTGTCCCACCAGCGCCCCTCCCAAAACCTGTCCCATGTCTCCAGAATGTAGAATTGTGTAGAAAGCGCTCGCTTACGCCCCGTCGCATGTCTGACACTTATCCTAAACATTCAGTTTACACAAATGTAATGTGCATGTATATTACCTCTGCACCAATTCTGCAACCAATCATTAAGGCATGAAAAGTATCAGCACTGCCGCTTCCTCGCCACATCATATTCACCACTTTCAGACTCTTTACGGACGGGAAAAACCTCAGCAAGATGACCACAGTGCGATGCATGCAACGCCCAAAACAACTACCACCCGCCCGGCCTTCCACCCCCGCGATGCAATACGAACGGACCCATCCCAATATAGGACCAGTCCCAGGAACTCTGTCCGGATAAGGCACCAGCTCGCATCCAGCTGCTATGGTATTCAAACGGAGACGCCCCCCGTCGGACCCCCGTACATACATACATACATACATACATACATACACGCATGCAACGAACCTTAAAGACGCCGGTGCTATGGACAAAAGTCCGTACCGTGCTAGTGCCAGTCCCAACACTCGCCCTCCTCAATAATTCCTTCACAGCAGCGCTCCCGATACGTTCATTACTCACGTCCTTCATCACACACATTGCCAATGCCTGCTACACATTCCGTTCAGGAATGTAATTTCCGGATGTGTGGCGCCAGTTCCCTTGTTCGGATTCAGACATTGCACATTCATTGCCCGCCCGTCTGAAGCGCTTCATCTCATGATGTGTGTTCACTCCGCTCGGATCCTTGACAGGTGCCAGGCAACACGGCCAATAGAGAGGATTAAGATATCATATTGCAAAACAGGAAACGCAACTGAACGCAAACGCCCCCAAAAGCGTCACCCGCAGTGTGCAGCTACGCCCGGGACGGCTCGACTCGCCCTGCTTTGCTTTTCTCGGCTCAGGTGGGCCTACCCGCCTCTCTACCCGCCTCTCTGCCCGACTGGACCCGACCTCACTTGGCCGGGTGGAGGTGGGAAGTGGCGGCGGCGACAACTCAGGGTCGCGAACACAATGTGGGTCCCGCAAAGCAGAGCAATTGACTGCAGCTATAACGCCCTGCTCGTACGACTACCGCTAGCACAGCATCCCCATAAGCTCCCCAGCGCAGGCAAACAGACAAACATACTTGTCTTGCGCACTAAGGTAACAACTCACGCACCTGCGACTGCTCCCTTCCGGCCCTTCCGTAAACCGCAGATACCCTCTCCCTGTCATCCCACTCTCCCCTGTCGCCCGGCTCACCAATACCCTGACACCCTGGACACTGACCATCCTTTCCCGGCCGGCCAACATTTACATTACAGTCTCCCCGCCCTCTGAAGCCAGGGGCACCGCGGCGCGTTGTCGTACTCTTGCCTAACCCTCCGGGCCAGTCCGGGCCCCGCCGCCACTGCGCCCGCTACGGAGTTTGTTATAAATCAAGTAATATTTCCCCCGGCTCGTCCCCCCGAGGTTCCGTACCACCTCCCCCAACGGGGCCAGAGGGGCCAGAGGGGGCTCATCGTCGCCCCGCAGCGATGCTGCTTTTCGCCCTCCCGCCTGCCCCCACCGCTGGCGGCTGCGGCGCCGCCGCCGCCACCGTCAGCACCGGCTGGCTGCCCCCGCGGACGGACCCCGCCGGCCCCGCCCCCACCCCCGACCGCGAGGAGGACACGCTGCTCAGCGGCGGCGGAGGAAAACTGCTGCCACCACCGCCACCGCCGCCACCCCGAGGAGCCGCCGCCCTGCCCTCGAACAGCGAGTGGTCGATGAGGAACTCGAGTTGCTCTGGCGGGTACCTGTCGGCAGTAGCGGTAGCGGTAGCGGCAGCAGTAGCGGTATGGGTCGTGACAACCTTACATGCAAAAAGCAAAGAGTCAAGTGTCGACGACGAGGGGGAGAAGGAGGAGGAGGAGGGGCTTAGGAAGCGAGGGTTTGGGGGGAAAAGACGTACGCGGCCGTACACTGCCTAGCGCACTGTGGGAGAGGAGGAGATCCCCCCCGTGCCCGGGGAGAGGTCAAGCAACCCACAAACCCCTCCCTTCCCC